TGTTAGTTTGAAGCAGGGTCTCCCTGTAGCCCCAGCTGTCCTGGAACTCACTATGTAGACCAGGCTGGCCTTGAACTCACAGAGATCTGCCTGCCTCTGCCTCCCAAGTGCTGGGTCTACAGGCATGCGCCACCACGCCCGGCCTTATTTTATTTTTTAAATCTTTTTAAAAATTAAAAGAGGCCAGTGGCATACAATTTTAATCCAGCACTTAGGAGGTAGCGGCAGGCAGATCTCTCTGAGAGTGAGGTCAGCCTGGTCTACATAGTGTGTCCAGGCCAACTGGGGCTACAGGGAGACCCTGTCTCAAATAAAACAAAACAAAATTAGAAGAATATAAGAAAATAAATATACTGAATAATGATTAATGGAAATTAATTGCTATTAATGGAGCTAATGGAACACAGTTAATGGAAATAGTAATTAATTGAAAGTAATTAATGGAAGTATTTCAGAATAAACTTGACTAGATTTGCTAATGGATTTTTAAGGTAATAATGAAGATTAATTCCAGGTTTAAGGTATATTTCATTTAGCTATAAAAGTAAAGTTTCAAGTAAATGGTGTTATTCTTGTTATATAAGTACAGCATTGAAGTTTGAGAAATGAATGAAGCTTATCCAAGTTCTCATAGCTACTATGTCAGAGCAAGGATATATACATCCAGCTTTATTCCTTCCACAATGTGGTATCATCAAAGGTAGTTTACACTGTCAGTTGTTGATCTGTTCTATTAACAGTTTGAAAAGCATCATTGGTATTGGAGTTGGAGCTGGAGCCTACATCCTCAGCAGATTTGCAGTAAGTACAGGAAGGATTAGTCTCAACTCCCTTGAAGCCCCCTGAGCGTCACATCTAGCTATAAATACTGTGTTTAATGACTAGGTGTTTCCCTGGTCTTGTGCTGGTTCTTCTGTATGTTCTTTCAGCTCCAGGCACAGATTTGTATAAAGACTTGCTTTGTGTGTAAAGTGCTGAAAAACCACAAATGAGGACAAAACACTGTAAAGAACCTAGATGCAGCTTCTGGAGGGATTTTGTAGTCATTAAAGTAAGCTTAAGAACTTGAAACAACACAATAATATAACAAGTAAGGCTACAGTTTCCTATAAAGCCCTACTGAAGAAACTCCTTTTCATTTTCCTCCTGAATGACAAGTCTTCCAGGGTTGAAGTACTATTTAGATGGCTTTAAAAAAAAAGTTTCAAGGGCTGGAGAGATGGCTCAGCAGTTAAGAACACTGGTTGTTCTTGCGGAAGACCCAGGTTCAAATCCCAGCACCCACATGGCAGCTAACAACTTCTGTAACTCCAGTTCCAGGGGATCCAATGGCCTTTTCTATCCTCCGCAGGCATTGCGTGACATGGGTGCACTTACCTACATGCAGGTAATACACTCATACACATAAAATAAAAATAATAATATTTTTAATAAAGCTTCAAAAGCTCTTGTTGGGCTGAAACAGCCCATGTAACCCTAAGCAGCCCTCATGTCAAAGATTTAAGCACACTTGCCCATGAGGAAGACCACCTGTGGGTTGAATAACTGCAGCATGTTCTCTTCTCCTATAGCAGTAAAGATCATGTCTTCCCTATGCATCCATACAAGGGATTTGATAGCATTCTGAGAGACTGGTTTCCAGATGCTAGTTCAGATTTCAAGAAGTCTCTTTTCCCTAGCACCTCCAGAAGTCTTCCTTTTAAACATGAGGTGTTAGGCATAGCACAAATCTGCTAACCACATTCCAGTTGTTTTAGAAGAAGCAGGGGCAGTGGAAGTCTCTTACAGTTTTCTTTGTCTCTCTCTCAGCTCAACCATCCAGAGCTTGTAGAAGGTCTTGTGCTCATTAACATTGACCCATGTGCTAAAGGCTGGATTGACTGGGCAGCTTCCAAAGTAAGTGTCAGATGATGCTGTCAGTTCACCTTCTAGTTCTTTGGAAAATTACCTTTTTATATGCAGTTTAAGGGGGAAAATGTGTCTTTTCTTGAGGTGCTATGAGTCAAACCCAGATCCTTGCATATGCTGTGTAAGTACTTTTACCATTGTGCTGCATCCCCACTCCTGGCAAAGCGTTTTAAGTATACAGTTTGATGAACACTTATTTTCACATGTAATCACCACCACATATAGACTATTTCCAGCTCTTTGAAGTATTCCCTTATGCCTTTCCCTAACTGATACTTCTTGCCAGAAATCACCTTATTCTCATAGCCATTACCACAGCTTGGTCTCATCTATTCTGAAATGTCATGTCATTGGGATTATAGATTATATGTTCTTCTGTGTCTCGTGTCTTCCCCTCATTGTTATATGTGCGTGATTCATCCCTGTTGTGTGTAATGGTAGTTTTTTTTTTTAAGTTACTATGCCATAGTCTGTTATAGTCTGTGATCCACAAATGCCCCAAACGGACAAACAGACAGGTGAGTCTAGAGAAAGAAAGAAAGATTTATTACAGCTGGGTTACACTCTTTCCTAGAGGGTCCGAGTGCAGCCCCGAGTCTAAGCACTCTGGTTCTTTTATACTAAACTTGTTGCTGGGCAAGCAAGCAGAATACAGAAGCCAATCATTGAGCGTTAAGGCTGAGCAAAGATTATCAAGGAAATACGTAAGAAAATACAGTTTTCCACCCAAACCTCCCACCTGCATGGAACTAGCTTCCTCCTCTTTCATAAACTGACATTATCAGTCTTACTGTTAGTCTACATTGTTTTTACTGGTCAATTACTGTTAGTCTACATTGTCTTTACCGGTCACAAAGTTCCTTCTAGGGGGTTTTTGTTATATAGCAGTTGTATCTTAGGAACCTCTAAATGTTGTGGGATACTTTTTGTACAGAGAAACTATAACCAGGAGTGAAAATTTTAAGCTTCCAAGCATACAGGTAGAGAGTCCCCTTAATAATTTCTATTCTATTAATCAACAATTGTTATTTTGCACAAGCAAGGCAAGCATAACCTACAGAAGCCATAAATCGCCAGTTAGAAGGAGCACTCTAGGATGCTCTGACCTGTTCCCAAGACAACCAGGGTCCAGCTGGCAATGTGTTCCCATACCCTTGGCTAACTTGCCTGATAATTTCAGAAACTAGAGTCAGCCTAAACTTTAACATGGCGTAGCTATGGTCAAGAAGGTACCCTATTATAGTCTATATAAAAAATTCATTGTGGGAATACACAAAATGAGTTGATATTGTTTTGTTGTTTGGGAAAGCTGCTGTGCACATTTGTTTATGTATTTTAGTTGACATATATGTTCATCTTGGTTTATCCTGAGGAGTGAAGTTGAGAAGTCATAAGGCATTTGTGTATTTACCTGAGAAAATGATGGACATGAATTTACATGCTCCATGTGCAAGTTCTAGTGGTTCCACATCCTCACCAACATTTTATATTGTCATTTCATTTCTGTGAAATACAAGCATTTTTAACATAATACTAATTTGAGTTATGTGCATAACAACATAACTAGTTATTAAAATAAGAATTTTGTGCCATCTTTTTTTCTTCTTGTGGTATGGAGTATAAACCCAGACCTTTTCATGTGCTAGGCAAGTACTCTAATGCTAAGCTACATCCCAACCCTATACCAACTTTTTAAAATTAACACTTCTAGATTTTAACTTGCATTTCCCTAAGTGGTGGTGATGTCTGATACCTTTTTTGGAGTACCATCTTAAAGTTCCTTTTAAAGTCTTTTGCCCCAACTTACATGTTCCTCCATTCAATAAAAAAGATATTGTGGGGGCTGGAGAGATGGCTCGGTGGTTAAGAGCACTAACTGCTCTTGCAGAGGATCAGGGTTTGATTCTCAGCACCCACCTGGTGGCTAACCATCTGTAATTCCAGTTACAAGGGAATCCAGTGCTCTCTTCTGACCTCATCGGGCATTGCATGACATGGGTGTACTTACAAGCAGGCATAACACTCATACACATAAAATTAAAATAATGAAAAAAAATTTTTTAAACGATATTCTGCATATAAGTCCTTTGCCTGGGGTCTTATATCTGAAATGTCTTCTGTGGCTTGCATTTTTGGTCTCTTGGCAAACTCAAACAGCTTATCTTTTCCACTGTTCCCAAAGACATACGGATTAATAATGTTCTCTGTAAGCTGAACCAGCAGAGAGGAAATAAAAATAAGTATTCTAATGACAGATATAAGAAATCCCCAGGCTAAGTCAAAGTTAAAGAGGTTAATAGAAAAAAGGGATTATCCCATTAGTATTGAATTCACCTATGCTAAAAAATAATTCACTATTTTTAGGTTGCAATAGAAGCAGTCCATTTTCTTGCTAAAGTACAAATGTTATTTGTATGTTATTTTAATACTCTATGGTGGTTAGGTTAAAGCAGTAATATTTTCTGTAAAAAAAAATATTAGCTTACACCTTGATTTCCTGATAAAAGATGACTAATGTAATAATGTCATTTAAAAATTTTTTTATTATTTTTATTTTATGTGTATGTGTGTATTGCCTGCATGTAGGTAAGTGTACACGTATCATACAGTGCCGGCAGAGGTCAGAAGAGGCTGTCGGATCCCCTGGAACTGGAGTTACGGACAGTTGTTAGCTGCCATGTGGGTGCTGGGATTCGAACCCGGGTCTTCTGCAAGAACAGCCAGTGTTCTTAACTGCTGAGCCATCTCTCCAGCCCCAATAATCTCATTTTAAAACAAATACCTGTTTCTAAATACTTTGTAGTTACCATAAATGTTTGTTGCAATGTGCCATTGAGAGTTATGCTCTTGGGGCCAGGTATAATGACACACACCCTTTTATCTCAGCACTCTGAAGGCAGAGGCAGACAGGGCTACATAGTGAGACAATGTCTCTAAACAAACACAAGTAAGAAGTGTTCTCCCTAATACTACTATCTAGCAGATTTTTATTGATACGTAAATCCATGTTATCTAGTAATTCAGTTTTGGAGAACTTATTTGAAGGATAGTGATATAGATTTACATAGAGGGCTAATAATGTTTTTAAAGAAATTAATGCTTACTCTGCTTACTGTGTAGCAGGCACTGTTTTGGTGTTTTGTTTTGTTTTGTTTTTGTCTTTTTGAGACAGAGTTTCCCTGTAGCCTCAGCTGGCCTGGAACTCTGTATGTAGACCAGGCTGGTCTTGAACTCACAGAAATCTGCCTGCCTCTGCCTCTTAGTGCTGGGATTAAAGACATGCACCACCATACTGGGTGCAGGCACTGTTCTTAAATGAGTTTTTATATTTAAACTGCTTTTCTCAGGACAACTAAGTCAGTTAATACATTGCTTAAGGCCACATAGCTAGAAAGTCACCAATTCAGGATACTTATGAAAACATTGTAAGACAAAAAGATAGAAGCAATCTAAGAACCAATAATTGTGAGTAACAAAATTTTGAGAAACCATAGAATAAAATGATGATAGATAGATAGATAGATAGATAGACAGACAGACAGACAGACAGATAGATAGATAGATAGATAGAAGATAGATAGATAGATAGACAGACAGACGATAGATAGATAGATAGATAGATGATAGATAGGTAGATGATAGATAGATAGATAGATAGATAGATAGATAGATAGATAGATAGATAGATGATGGTAGAAGATAGATAGATAGATAGATAGATAGATAGATAGATAGATGATGACAGATAGATATAGATAGATAGATAGATAGATAGATAGATAGATAGATAGATAGATGAGGGTTTTGTTTTGTTTTGTTTTTTCATCTTTTTGAGACAGGGTCTCCCTGTAGTCCCAGCTGTCCTGGAACTCACTATGGAGACCAGGCTGGCCTTGAACTCACAGAGATCTGCCTGCCTCTGCCTCCCTAGTGCTGTGATTAAAGGCATGTGCCACCATGCCCGGCTAACAGTATATCATTTTTAAAAATTACGTACACAGGATGTGAGGCACCAATATATTTTGAGGTCAGCCTGAGCTATATTGTCTCTAAAATAAGCAAAACCAATATTGTTTGATTAAGAAAATGAGAAAAATTCAAAAGCTATATATCCAGAAAATGGTATCATTATCTCAATTTTGTTAAATACATATATTTATAAGAAAAGAAAGAAAATAATATGTACTTAGTGATTATATCATAGGTTGTTAATGGTATATTGGTACAAATAATGTGGCATTTTTCAGGGTTTGCATTTTTTTATAGGTGCATAGTACTTTTAAATTATTTTAAAATAGTCTGCCTACAAGCATACCAGATTCTAAGCAGTGTGTCCATCCCTTCCCATGTTTATATTTTTGGAGAATAATGCTATCCTTACCTTTAGATGAAGTATGTTAACAATGCTACTGCCAGGTACTGTGGAATTCTCTCTCTCAGCCTGAGTTACGTAAACTGTGTGCTCATTCCTGTCTAGTATGTGGCTATGTTAACACACACACACACACACAGTTTAACAATGTGTAACAATGTGATGAAGTTCATAGACTACTTTAGGTCTATGAGCATTATGAATACTTGTGTTAAACTCAGAAAGCAAGATGAGTTATTCATCCTCCTTGTCTTTAATTTCTGAGCTGTGGGTCTCTGGCTACCTGTAGAAAGATTTCATGACATCTTTCTTCCGTAATCTTTTACCTGTGTCCATGTCTGTCTCCCTTACCTCCTCTTCTCCATCCCACCCCCAACTCTGATACAGGTCCTCAGGAATTCCATCTAAACCTCAGAAAGATGGCTTGGGGGGAATCAGCAACATTATGCAATTTGGAGATTTTTCTGAAAATAGGCTATCTCCAGATTTATACAAATTGCTGCATTTATTAGCCTGTGAGGTGCATCATTTTGAAATGGGAAGAATTAGAAGAAAAATGTTCAAAATGTAAGAACATCCTGTAAATAGAGCCATTCCTCCCACTCCCTGAATCAAAGACAGCTAAAACTGGAAGGAAATTTTTTTTGTTGTTTTTGGCTCTCGGCTGTCTTGGGCATGGTGTGAGTCAATCTCTTTCTGCCATCAACCCAGTATAAATGCAGAATTGCAGGAGGAATGAAGTCACAAATAACCTTGAGTTCTAAATTGTGGGTTTTCAAAGGACTAGCTGATATATTTCTTCTAGAACCTTCCTTCTTCCTTCCTCCCTCCCTCCCTCCATTACCTTTCTCCTTCCTTTCTCTGTCTTCTCTCCCTCCTTTCTTTTATCCTTCCTTGCTTTTTCTTTGAGCTAGGGCCTCCCTAGTTGGCTCAGATTATCTCCAACTCTTGAGCCCAGGAGTAGGTGCAGCTGTAGGCAAAAGCACAACCATACCCTGCTACACACTGCTATTTCAAAAATGCCATATTACCCTAGAGGGGATACCTGCTTTTTTTTTCAGACTTTTCCTTATGGTTTCTTTGAAACTACTGTGTCATACAAATATGACCCTTAAGTTGTGGGGTTTGGTTTGTTTTGAAAAAAATCGTCTCTACATAGCATGAGCTGGTCTGTTTGGTCCAGGCTAACCTTGAATTCATGGTCTTTTATCTCAGCCTCCCCAGTGCTGGGATTACAAGTGTTTCTACCAGCCTTGTGTTTTGTTTGTTGAGGGATAATATATGTACAATAAGTACACTTCAGTGGACAACTTGCAAAATATTTACATGTGCTTACTCTCTTAACACAGTGTTTTTATCTTTTTAGCTCTCAGGCTTGACAACCAACATTGTGGACATAATTTTGGCTCATCACTTTGGGCAGGTAAGCACCTGTGCAACCCGATGCGCTGGGTTTCTTGGCTCATGTGCAAAGCCTTGTTAAGCTTTAGGAGAGAAGGGCTACCTTAAGTCTACCAGATCCTAGCAGATAACACTTCCTGTGCAGTCAGTGGTGCATGTGGCCCTGCAAATGCCAAGCCTATGGGAGAGGCTTCGCTCAGCCTCATGGATCTTGGCACTCAAGAGAGTGACAGAAGACAGCATCTCCCCCACCTGTCCGCTGTAAGCAGCATGCCATCTGTTAATGTTTGACAACACCACGTGCTCACCAAACATCTTTAGAGCCATCGGGAGGTTTAGGAAAGCCTTCACAGAAATAGCAATTCAAGAAGAAATGGGGGGAGGGGGAGGCAAGGAGTGGTGCACAGACTTTGGAGATGATATTATTCAACACCCATGAAATGCTAGAAAACCAGGGCTGGAGAGATGGCTCAGTGGTTAAGAACACTGGCTGTTCTCAAAGAAGACCTGAGTTTGAATCCCAGCACCCACATGGCAGCTAACAACTGTCTGTAACTCCAGTTCTGGAGGATCTGATAGCCTCTTCTGTCCTCCGAGGGCATTGCATAACATGGGTACACTTACACACATGCAGGCAATACATTCATACACATAAAATAAAAACAGTAAATAAAATTTACATATTTTTAAAGTCCTTTAGGGCCCAACATGATGTTTCAGTGGGTAAAACCTGAATTTGATCCCTGGAACCTACAGTAGAGAGAATTGACTCTTAAAACTGTCCTCTGTACTCCACATGCACACCATAGCTTGAATACACACATACTCAATTATTTATTACTTTTATTACTTTTCTTTTGGGCCTAATTTTTTTGGGGGGTGGCGGGGAGTAGGGGGCACAGAGCAGTCTCTTGTAGCCCAGGCCAGCCTCAAGCTTGCTGTGTAGTTGAGATAGCTTTTGAACTCTGATCCTCCTAACATAGGAGGCATGCATGCCACCATGCCTGACCTTTTTGTGGCCTGATCTTAAGATAGGGAAACTGAAGGCCAGAGACTCAGAATAATATGTCCCCATTGTCTATACAGTAAATGATGGAGCTGACATTTGAATTTAGGATGTTCTTATGTGGAATTCTTAGGACAACTTTTGGGAGTCAGTTCTCATCTTCCACCTTGTTGAGTCAGGTTCTCATTTCTGTTCCTGTACTGTGTGCTCCAGGCTAGCTGGCCTACAAGTTTCTAGGTGATTCTGCTGTCTCCACCTCCACTCTCACTGTAGGAGTCTAGAATTACAGTTGCTACCACACCACACTTTTTACATGTGTTCTGGGAATTAAACATGGACTTTCAAACTTGTGTGACTTGTGCATTTACCTTCTCAGCCTTCTTCCCTGTTTCTAATCTTTTCCTGCACGGATGTGTTTGTTTTAGACATTTTATATAAATGTAACATACCATATATGGCCTTTGTGTCTGACTTCTTTCATTTAGCAGAATGTTTTGAGATATGTCCTTGTTGTAACAATAGGGCATTAAGTGAGTATACCAGCTCATTTGTTCATCAGTTAGTTTGTGGATGTTCTAGTTTCATTTTTGTTGCTGTAGTAAAATATCCTGACAAGAGGCTGGAGAAATGACTTAGTTTGGTGCTTTTAACATTTACGCACAGATTTTCGTGTGTACATATGTTTCCAATTCTCTTGATACACATATGTGTGGAATTTCTGGTCACATAGTTACTCAGTGTTTGACATTGTTTTGGTTTGGTTTTTTTTTTTTATTTTATTTTTATTTTGTGTGTATGAATGTTTTGACCGCATGTATGTAAGTGTACCTGTGTCATGCATGCCTGTGGAAGCCAGAAGAGGGACATTGGATCCCCTGTAACTGGAGTTTCAGACAGGTTTTAGCTGCCATGTGGATGCTGAGAACTGAACCCAGGTCTTCTGCAAGAGCATCTAGTGCTCTCAACTGCTGAGCTATCTCTCCAGCCCCAGGTTTGATTTTTTGTTGTTGTTGTTGTTTTGTTTTTTAAGAGAAGTTGTAACTTTTACACTAGTAGGATTATAAAGGGCACAGCCATCTTGGAAAATGTTCTGACAGTTCCTAAGTTAAACACAAGCCAGGCATGGTGGCATACATCTTTAATCACAGCACTCAGGAGGCAGAGGCAGGCAGATCTCTGTGAGTTCCAGGCAAGTTGAGATTACAGAGAGATCCTGTCTCAAAAAAACCCAAACCAGGGGCTAGAGAGATGGCTCAGAGTTCTTGCTGCTCTTCCAGAGAATTCAGTTCCCAGCACCCATATTGGGTATCTCATACCTACCTGTAACTCCAGCCCCAAGGGATCTGACACCTCCTTTTGGTCTCTTTGGGCATCCTTACACTTGTGGTGGACAGATGCATACACATAAATAAAAATAAATCTTTTTTTAAATATTTTATTATTTTTATTTTCTCTGTTCAAGTGTATTGCTTGCATATATGTGAGTGCACCCATGTTGTGCAATGCTGCGGAGGTCAGAAGAGGGCTTGGATTCCCCTGGAACTGGAGTTAAGGACGGTTTGTAGCCACCATGTGGGTGCTGGGAATTGAAACCAGGTCCTCTGCAAGAGCAGTCAGTGCTCTTAGCCGCTGAGCCGTCTCTCCAGCCCCAATAAATCTTTTTAAAAAAAAAAACAGTTTCAGTTTCTCACATCCCCACCAATGTTGGTGGTGTATTTCTTTGATTACAGCAACTTAGTGGGTATAAATGGCATCAGTATCAATGAGGTTTCAGTTTCCGTTTCCCAAATGACTTATGGTGTTGAACCTATTTCCAAAGATTTATTGGCCATATGCATCACCTTTAGTAAAATCAGCCATTTCTGCATCTTCTTTGGAGAAATGTCTATTGATATCTTTTTTGCATTTTTTAATTGAGAATTTAAGCTTTTATTGTTGAGTTATAGGTTCTTTTTTATTTTATTTGCATGTGTATGCTTGTGTGGTATGTATGTATGTGTGTCTGTTCACATGTATGAGTGCATATATTTATGCAGAGGGGTGTGTGTGTGTGGGTGTATATGTGTGGATGTGAGTTTGTGAATGCTGTGGGCGTGTGGAGACCCAAGGTTGATACCAGGTGTCCTCCTCAGTTACTCTCCACCTCACATATTGAAACAGGATCTCTTGTTAAACCTAGAGCTCACATTTAGACTAGTCTGGCTAGTCAGCTCACTCAAACGATTCCTTGTCGGTCTCCCAGTGTTCTGGGACTACAGGCATGCCATCACACCCACCTTGGTTTTGCCCTGCTTTTACATTGGATCTGGGAAGCTGAACTCTGGTCCTAACTCTTGCACAGCACTGATCCATCTTCTCAAAGAGCAATAAATTCTTCATATTCTGTAATTCTAGGTACAAGTTTGTGAGATATGTAATATACAGATATTTTCTTTCATTCTATGGGTTGTCTTTTCAGCTTCTACACCCAGCCCCACCCCTCCAGGGTTTGGGATTAAACCCCAAGACTCTGAGCATGCTATGTACATATTCTGCCACTACATCACCCCCTTTCCTTTTCTAATAGTGTCCTTTAAAGCATAAAAGTCTTTTTCATTTTAATGAAACCCCATTTATTTATTTTTATTGTTGCTTTGTGGTTTTGTGTTCTATCAAAGAAACCTTCACCTAAACCAAGTCTATAATGATTTATTCCTATCCTTTATTTAAGGACTTTTTAGTTTTCGCTTTTTAGTCATGAGCCATTTTGAGTTAATGTTTGTGTATGGTGTGAGGGAAGTTGGGAGTCCACCTTCATTCTTTCTCAGATGGAACTCCAGTTGGCCCTAACACCAGTTGTTGAAAAGACTTTTTTATCCATTGAGTTACTATTTTTTTTTTTTCCTCTGTCTTTTGGAGACAGGGTCTCCCTGTGACCCCAGCTGGCCTGGAATTCACAATGTAGACCAGGCTGGACTTGATCTCATAGAGAGCCACCTGCCTCTGCTTCACAAATGCTGGGACTAAAGGCATGTGCCACCACACCTAGCTCTACATTGACTCCTTTTTAATAACCAGTTGGTAAGTAAGTCTGTACTTTGTTACTGAAACAAATCAATTTATAAAGCAGAAAGGGCCAGGTGTGGTGGCACACATCTTAAATTCCAGTACTCAGGAGGTAGAGGCAGGCCGATCCCTGTGAGTTCAAGGCCAGCCTGGTCTACATAGTGAGTTCCAGGCCAGCTGAGGCTGTAGGGAGACCCTGTCTCAAATTACATTAATTAATTAATTAGAAAAACCAGAAAGTGCTTTATTTTGACTCACACTTTCAGAGTTTTTATTCAGTCTAGGATGAATTGGCATCATTGCTTTGAGGCCTGTGGGAAGGCAGCATATCATGGCAGGAGTTCACTCACTATCCACATAATTGGGAGCAAAAGAGAGGAAGAGACTGAAGTCTCTGTTCCCTTGAAGGGTGTGCCTCCAATGACATTAAGACTTCGACCTCCTAAAGAGTCTACCACCTCTCAGTAGTGACAGTCTGGGGAGTAAGCCTTTAAAACTTGTAAAATCAGACAGTGGCCAAAGAGTGGGCTGGTAAGATGGCTCAGTGGGTAAAGGCACTTGCTGCCAAACTTGACAATCCAAGGTTTTAATCCTAGGGACCCACATAGTGTAAGGAGAGAACTGACTCAAGTAAATTGCCTTCTGACCTCCACAGATCTACACACATAAATAACCTTTGGGGGTTTTTTAGGCAGTGTTTCATTGTGTAGCTCAGGCACACCTTGAAATCATTATGTAGATCAGGCAACCGTGAACTCATGATCCTCTTACCTCTACCTCTCAAGTATTGGGATTACAGGTGTACATCACCACGCCTGATGTTCCTACTTTTTTATCTACTACAGTAGCAAAAAGAAAAAAAACAAAACAAAACAGTAATTATAGCCAATGAAGTGGCTCCATGGGTAAAGGTGCTTGCTGCCAAGCTTGATCACCTAAGTTTGATCCCTGGGTCCCACGTGGTGAAAGAG